GCGCTGAGCTCCATGTGGTGGAATTCTTTTCAATTTCAGGACCTCCTTCGCAAGAATAGCTTCTCGGCCACCACACTGTTCCAGGCGATTGAGGACCTTAAAACGCAGTTTTCAGAGGCACATGTGAGGTTTTTTTTTCTGGAAATTAAAAAAATTTTCAGTCAAAAATTTCGAATTTCCCGCCAAATCATTCCAGATGAGTCGCCATTGGCTGCCTCCAAGTATCACACCGATTCTACGTCTGGCAGCTTTGGAAATCGAGAAGAGAGATGGAGACGTGACGCCTTCTTTGACTCCAAGAAAGCCGCAGAATATTCTGGAACGACGGAATTCGATTGATATGACACTTGACACGTGTATCTCGCAAGTTGAGACGATTAGTCATGAGATGGACTACCATATTGGGAGGCTCTATCGGAAAGCCAAGGATTTTAGTGTAAGCTTATATTTTTCTGTTTCTAGTTTGGTCTAAGTTTGATGAAACTTTATTTTTCGAATTCCTCTCTTTCAGAGCTTGAAAACGAGCTCCAATACGCCTAGGCTCCGCCCATTTTGAGGGGCCAGAGCGGCAGAGAAGCGAGACACACTGCGTCTCTAACCTCAAAACTCAAAATGGGCGGAGCCTAGCCGTGTTTAGGCTCGTTTTGAAGCTCATAACGTCCTAAATCTGAAAATGTAGCTTTTCAACAGATTTCGGTTTTTTTCAAATAGAAATTTCCAAAAAGCCGCCATAACTTATTTCATTTTCAGCTATTATTTCAAACTAAATTGTAATCGGCTCTAGAAATATCGTAAGTTTCATTTTGCAGTGTTATTCTGAGAAGCACTTAAAATCTGACATTTTCAGCCTGAAACCTTTCGCTGAAATTTTTCGCTGAAAAATGAGCTTTTGAGCTACGAGCCTCGATTTTTTGTCAATTTTTTTCAAACTACCGTAACTTTCTCAAAAATCACCTAATCTTTTTGAAATTGTCAGTTTCAAATTCAACTCATAGCGAGCTTCAAAATGAGCCCCCACACGCCTGGGCTCCGCCCACTTTGAGGGGCTAGAGCGCCAGAGAAGCGAGACGCACTGCGTCTCTAACCTAAAAACTGAAAGTGGGCGGAGCCTAGTCGTGTGTGGTCTCATTTTGAAGCTCTCATCTTTACAAGTCTAAATTCATCAATATTTTTACAGACTTTCCAACCCCTGGACCTGGATACCGTAACCCGAATTTCGAAAATCGTGGAATCCGTGAAGTCCGGTGTTGAAATGCTTCTAGAGCACTCGTTTAAAGAGTCCCGCCCCAATTCAGTGATGTTTTTCGAGATCACAAATGACGACATCAGAAATGTGATTCGAAAATCCGATGGAGAAGGCTCATCAGGCTCGCTGAGCTCACTGAAGCGAATTTCAGCGCCACCGAAAATTCCAGAAGTTTTTAGTGAAGACGAAGAGATTCTGGAAGAGAGACGAGACGTCGAAGGGGAGATTATGAAGATAATTGAGGGGATTGGTGAAAAAATTGGGTCAGAGGAAGGATTGAAGCCAGCCAGAAATCAAGGAATGATCAGTTTGGATGCGACCGTTTTGAAAGTAATTTATTAAAATTTTCAACGGGTCATATTTCGAACAAATTTGATTGAAATTTCATGAAAACTATATTTTCAGCTTTCTCTCACCGAGAGCTTCAAAATGAGCCCAAACACGACCAGGCTCCGACCACTTTTAAGGCTGGAGCGCCAGAGAAACGAGACACACTGCGTCTCTGACCCAAAATGGGCGGAGCCTAGTCGTGTGCGGGCTCATTTTGAAGCGCTTTTTCTGCCGAATTCAAATCTGTAATTTTCAGACCCTGATTCAACAATCCCAACGTCTTCTGGCCATTTATGAGTCTAACGATGAGATTCGGAGAAAGAGGTCTGCTCCACCAATGATTTTGGTGGAAAATGAGGATCCAGAAGAGCCAGAAATTGTGTCAGTAGAGCCAAAAGAGGTTAAGGATGAGCAATCTAAAGCTGTAGAAGATTTTTCGGCTCCAGAATCCCCTTCAGAAGACGTCACGTCTTCTGAAGACGTCGTCAGAGATCCAGAAGTCCCAATTCTAGACTTAAAAGATTCAGAAGATCCAGAAGCTCCAGAAGTCGTCACGCCACGATCGCCAGAATCTCCAGAAGAGCAGGAGGAGATTGCTCAGCTTAAAAAAGTGATTTCTGAGTCGTTGGAAAATTCTGAATCCCCGAAAATCGAGGATTCAGAATCTGGAGAAGCTGTAAAGCCTCCAGATTCAGAAGAAACTTTAATTTTGAGAAGTCAGAAGGCTCCAGAAGATCGAGAAGACGTCAAGGAGGATTCAGAAGACGTCAAGGATTCAGAAGACGTTACAGAAGACGTCAAAGCTCCAGAAGATGTTACTGAGGATTCAGAAGACGTTAAGGGTCCAGAAGAAGCTCCAATTTGCGCTAAACCGATTCAAAATGCACCAGAAGACGTTCCAGAAGACGTGGAGCCTTCAGAATCCCAAGAAAAGGATTCAGATGACTTCACGTCTTATGGAAGTCATCGTCCAGCGACTCCAGAATTTCCGAATCCCAAAATTATTGCACTTGGATCGGATCTTCCGTTCACGCTGATCATGCCAGAACAACCAGAATCGCCAGCCCAGTCAATGATGACGTCACCAGAGGATTCAGAAGCCAAAAATCCAGAAGACGTTAAAAACTCAGAAGGCGTCGCTTCAGAAGAAGGTATCAACGATGATTCAGAAGACGACGAAGAGGATTCTGAATCCGAAAAAACTACAGTACTCTATATTCCTTCGGAATCCACACCACAGGAATTGACGCCGCAGAATTCAGAAGACGTCAAAGATTCAGAAAACGTCGAAATGCCAGAAGACGTTCTAGAAGCTCCAGAAGACAACAGAGAGGCTCCAGAAGACGTATCGGATCAAGAAGACGTTCTAGAAGACGTCAAGCCCATGAGCAATGGTCATGTGCTCCGAGAAACTAGATCCGAGGATCGAATGTCCAGCCATTTGAGGTCCCATATCAACACAGCGAGCGGAAAACCACATGTCACTTATCAGGTAACTACCGTAACCCTCTTTTTCAAAAAAATTTGAATTCCCCGCGTGGAGAGCTTCAAAATGAGTATAAACAAGGCTAGAAATCCAACAAATTTTTTTGGACCAAAATTTTAAAGGTTCATAACTCTGCCAGTTCCAAGATCAGCTAAATGAAAATTAAATTTTAGAGCTTGTGAGATTGAGAGCTTTAAAATGAGCTCAAACACGGCTAGACTCCGACCACTTTTGGGGTTAGAGCGCCAGAGAAGCGAGACACACTGCGTCTCTAACCTCTGAACTCAAAGTGGGCGGAGCCTACTCGTGTGGGGGCTCATTTTGAAGCACTCGACAAGACAATTTCAAATATTTAAGTTTCAAACCAATAACTGTATTTTTTGAAAAGATACGGTAGTTTGAAAATTTTCCAAAAAAAAATCAAATTTTTCAAAACACCGCAACTAGACTAATTTTATAGCTAGAATCTTGATTCTAGTCTTGGAATATGCTATTTTTTCTTAAATTTTTGAAAATTACAGTATCCAATCCACAACTACTATTCGCCGCCCATGAAACGTCGATCGAAATCGGAGGATCAAAAGATCAAGGAGACACTGAAGAATCGACCGCCATTTGTGCTTTACTAATTTTTCTTTCAATTTTTTCAGTCTTAAATCATTTTTTCAGCAAAAAAATCCGATATTCTAAGCAAATGTGATATATATTTTATAGTGATTTCAGAGCAATAAATACATTAGAATTTAAAATGACTATAACTTTTTTGAAATTCACCAGAACTTAAAAATATTCAGTTTTGTAAGTTTGGCTGATTGAGAGCTTCAAAATGAGTATAAACATGACCTATTTTAGAAAGTTTTTTGGATTACTGTAGTTTTCGTGGTGGGACCCGAAAAATCAAATTTCTCCGAACCTATGCGTGTTTATACTCATTTTGAAGCTCTCAAAGAGTCAAATTCAAAATTTTAGTTTTTAAAAAAGCTTACGGACCTAGTGGCCTAACTTTTTTGGTGGTTTTCTAGGCCACCAACTTCAAATGGCTGTAACTCGCTTCAAAATCGAGATTTCGGAATTACAGAACCATCAAATTACTTGTCAGGTCATTTTACACCAATTTGGGTTATTTGATTTCTGGTGACCGAACTTTTTCAAAATTTTGGTTTTCTAGGCCACCAACTTCCAATCATCATAACTCGCTTCATAATCAGTATTTTTGAGTTCTGAAAATTGATTTGGAATTCTTAAAACTCGCTTTTTAAGGACAATTTCCCAAAAATTGATTTCACTGACCTAGTTTTCCGGAAATTCGGTTTTCTAGGCCACCGACTTCAAATCTCTGTAGCTCGGCTCAAAATCAATCTTTTTGAGTTTTGAAAACTGTTTTGAAAAGTTCAGATTTTCTTATTTGATCTAATCTCATCTGGGAATATATTTGTCCTAATCTCATCTGGGAATACGGTCATGTGATCTGCTGCCACGTCATCTGACGATTGTCATTTGAGAAGACGTCCCATGTCTTATTGATTTTTAGAATTTCCAGTTTTTAAAGATTCTTAAATTTTTTTTTCAAAAATATATTTTTCCAGATTTTCAGCCAAAAAAATGCGTTGGCCTGAAATTATCATCCTCCTCCACATCCCAATCCTTTTCGCCCTCCTTGGCGCGGGCGCCCAATCCATCTACAGTAATCCCGAAAATTGGAAAATTCAAATTTTCCACCCGCCAATTATTTTTCCATTTTTCTCAATTTTCGGATTTCTCCTTTTTCTGAAATTCCTAGTTTTCCATTTTCAGCAAAAATGGAAGACTGAAATTTTGCGGAAATTCAAAATAATCGAATTTTGGGATTTTTGGAGATTACTGTAGTTTCCCTGGGTTCCCGGATTCTGGTGTTCTTTTTGGAATCAAAGGTAACTACAGTAATCCTTTTTTTTAATTGAAAAAAATTTCCCAGGTACTGTACCTTCTCACTGTCTGCACTCTCTTTCTCTCTATCCTCTCCTATTTTCTCTTCGGCTACCGTACCCAAAAATACTGTATTTTGACCCGAAAAATGCCAAAAATCGTCCGGAACTTCCTGATTTTTTACCATATTTCAATTCTTGTGATTTCCGTTTTTTTCGCTGGGTAATTGTTCAAAAAAACTGGATCATCTGAAAATTTCTCTCTATCAAATCGGATTTTTTGCTCTCCCATTCGCTGGAACTCTAGAAATTTGTAGTTTGATTTTTGGGAAATTGGAATTAAAGGAAAAATTCGAAAATTCGGAAGTGGAAATGGAGAATTTGGAGACTGGAGAGCCTGAAAAGGAGCCATTGAGGTAGGTTGCACGAGAAATGCGCCAACACTAGAAATGCGCAAGCTCCGAAAATGCGCAAGACAGACAAAGTAGTGGGCGACGCTGCAGTGCATCCGAAAACGCGCCAGCACTGGAAAAGCGTCAATGGCACGAGAAATGCGCCAACTGTAACACAATCGTGCAAGCAACACTAGAAATGAGTCAACAATGCATCTGAAAGTGCGCCAGCAATGAAAATGTGTCAATGACACTAGAAATGCGTCAGCTGCACCAAAAACGCGCCAACGCCAACCTTGCGCCAACACCAGAATTGCGCAAGCCACACCGAAATCGCACAAACAACACTAGAAATTCGTCAACACCAAAAATGGTGTCAATGACACCAGAAATTTGCCAGCTACACCAAAAACGCGCTAGCGTCACTAGAAATTCGCCAACAATGCATCCCAAAACGCGCCAATGCTGAAAATGCGTCAAGGACTCTGGAAATGCGCAAACACTAGAAATGCGCCAGCTACATCAGAAACGCGCTAGCACCAACTTTGCGCCAACACGCGCGGACAACACTAGAAATGCGTAAACCATGCATCCGAAAGTGCGCCAGCGCTGAAAACGCGGCAACACCGAATTTGCGCCTTCACGAAACATGAGCCAGCTACACCAAAATCGCGTGAACAGCACAGAAAAATATTTGCATCCGAAAGTGCGCCAGCACGGAAAATGCGTCAATGGCACTAATCTTTGCTGGCGCTTTTCTCGTGTTTGAGCATTTTCGGTGCATTTTAATCAAAAACAGGTTTTCGTCAGCACCAGAAACGCGTCAGCAATAAATTTGCTTGCGCATTTTTTGGTGCTGACGCATTTTTGGTGCACTTCAGTTGTGACACATTTCAAGGTGCCTGACACGCCAGCTGACACAAGTTCCGTGTTATCGGCGCATTTTCCGTATTGGCGCATATCGCGTGCATAGCACCAAAAACGCGTCAACAGACACCCAAAATTTTTCAGAGCCGAGTGTAAAATCTGTTTCAAGCACTACACGGAGACATGTCGAATTCCTCGAATCCTCAAAGAATGCGGACATACAGTGTGCCAAGAATGTGTCCAGAAACTTCTCGACTCTCAGAAAAATCACGTTTTCTGCCCCTTCTGTCAACGGGTTACTGTAGTTGCAGGTAGTACTGTAGAATTTTTTAAAATATTTTTTTTTTGGAAAATTTCAGGATCCGCCGACTCGCTTCCCAAGAACTACAACACTCTTGAAATGTTGGAATTGGCAGAAAAACTAAACATTTTTTCTCCTTTTGTGATATATATTTTTTCCTTTTTTCTATTTTGGTGGCCTAACTTTTTCCAAAATTCGGATTTCTAGGCCACCGGACTCTTTTGCTTATAACTTGGCTCAAAATTGAGATATGAAAATTTTGAAAAGACCATTTTGTTTCCCACTTTATTCTACACCTTTTGATGGCCTAACTTTTCCGGAATTCGGATTTCTAGGCCACCATTCCTTCAATTGCTCATAACTTTTTGCAAATTCAAAATCTCGACTTTTAAACACAAAAAATATGCTTCCCAAGTCATTTCACACATTTTTGGCCTATTTAATTTTGGTGGCCTAACTTTTTTCTGAACTTTGGTTTTCTAGGCCACCAACTTCAAACCGCTGTGACTCGCTTCAAAAACAACATTTTTGAGTTCTGAAAACTGATTCAGTACTCGTGAAACTGCCTTCTCTAGGTACAGTACTTTCCAATGGCCTAACTTTCCAAAGTGTGGATTTCTAGGCCATCGAACCCTTTTGCTCATAACTCGGATTAAAATTGAAATTCAGTCATTTAAAGACCACCACAGTGTTTGCCTAGAAATTTCTAAAATTTTTGGCGTATTTAATTTTGGTGGCCTAACTTTTTCAAAAACTCGAATTTCTAGGCCACCAAACTCTTTCGATCATAACTTGGCTCAAAATTGAGGTATCGAAATTAAACAAAAAACTTTTTGTCTGTCATATTATTTCACACATTTTGATGGCCTAGCTTTTTGGGAATTTGGATTTCTAGGCCACCGAATTGTTTTTTGATCATAACTCGGCTTGAAATTGAGATTCAGCAATTTAATGACCACTATAGTGTTTCTCTTAAAATTTCAAACATTTTTGACCTATTCAATTTTGGTGGCCTAACTTTTGGATTTATAGGCCACCAACTTCAAACCGTTTTAACTTGCTTCAAAATCGACATTTTTGAAAACTAAAAACTGATTTGGGGACTCTTGGAACTCCCTTTTGCCGGGGCAGTCAAATGGCCTAATTTCCAATGGCCTAACTTTTTCAAAATCTGGTTTTGTAGGCCACCTCCCAAAAATTGGGGGTAACTTGGCTCAAAATGGAAATTTTTCGATTCTGAAACCACCTACCGTAGTCAAATTCGATTTGTTATTCGATTTTCTCTGACAAAAGGTAGAGTTATCAAATTCCACGTGGATTTTCCGGCGACCCACTTCGTAACCATCCAGACATTGAATCGAATTTCCGACATCTCTGAAATATTGAATTTTTGGTGGCCTAGAATTGGTATAGGTGGCCTATAAACCTCAATTTCTGAAATTCAATGTAGGAAAATGCATAATTTCCTCTGCGCCGCCGGATTTTTATCGATTGTATCGATCCGAATCGATCGAAATTTGTCGAATCTCATCTTCGGTTATATCTTCAGGCAAATTATCCACAAGTATTCTATTAGGCATTTTTCAATAGGGGTTAGTAGGAATCTGGAAAATAATTAAAAAAATTTTTTTTCCGTTTTCTTGGGAAATTTTGCGAAAAATTGAACAATATTTCAGCAATAAAATTTAAAAAAATGTATTTTATCAATTTTCAGACAAAAAAACGAGAAAAAACGACTGAAAATGAGCAATTTTATCTGAAAAATAGCTTAAAAATGATTATAAAAAGTTGCGCGTAAAGTGTGGTGCAAAGACCGCAGATCCTTTGGCGCAGAAGGGAAACGCTGCGTACTTTGCGCAGGATTTTACGAGCAAATGTGGTTTTCTGCGTTTTTCAGCCAATTTTGAGCCAATTTTACAGTTGTCTTTTTCGCTGAAAATCGTGGAAAAAACCTTAAAATCGTTATTAAATCTAAAAAAAAGAAACAAATGAATAGAAAAACCCGTTAGACAAGAGAAAAGTAGAGAAATTTGATGGGTATTATTTTAAACAAATTTTCAGAAAAAATTAATTACAGACAAATTTTTTAAAAGTTTAAAAAGTTTAAAAATAAATATGAGCCTATAAAATGTATAAAAATCGGAGGATTACTGTAGTGAAAAGAAATATGGAGAGAAGGAGAGACGCAGAGTGAGATGAATAGTTGGCGATTTGAGCTTCGGCTTCTGAAAAATGTGAAAATTTTTTTAAAAATGCGAAAAATATAGTAGATTCTTTGGATTTTTAAAAAATAAAAAAATTTCGAAAAAAAAAATTTTTTTGAAAAAAATTTTTTTTTCAAAATTTCAAAAATAATATTTCAATTTTTTTTTTCGAATTTCAGTCTCCGCTTACTATTGATATGCACAATTTGTGACGCTTTTTGATGACTATGCTCACAAGCATAGTTCCCATCGTCCTCCATCGTCGCCTTTCGAATCCGCATCGTCTCGATGACTACACCGGCATCTCTTTTCACTTTTAGAATGTATTCTGAAATTTTTTAAAAAGTTTGTAACTTTACAAAAAAATTTTCTAGAAAATTCCAGTCATTTTAAGCCCAAAACCACCAAAATCGGTTGAGTTTGAACAGTTTCTTTCATTGGTTTTGAGGTGGCTAGCGACAGCTGGGTTACAAACGCTGTCATTTTTGGATCAAATTTTTCTCGGTTTCTGTAAGAGATATCAAAAAGTTGTCAGCTGATAAATTGTTCATCATAATATCAGTAACATTTTATCAGTTGACAGAATTTTGATATCTTTCACAGGAACCGAGATAATTAAGCTTAACGTTAACGATTAACGTCATTCATTGAATTTGAATGTTTTTGAGGCTACTTTTAATTCAGCGCCCACTATCACGAAGTCAGAGAATCACATTCAAACAAGTCAAATATCAATTTAAAGGTTTTCAAAAATTCTACATTTCCCATTTTAAGTTTAAAAGAAATGTTGAGTTTAAAGGAAGTTATGATCGAAACAATAATTACAGCACCCTAGCTACGCATCGTTGGCTCAACTTTGACCTGATTTATCTTGGTTACTGTAATAGATATCAAAAAAATGTCAACTGATAAAATGTTTATCACAATATCAGCAACATGTTTTCAGT